CTCCCCCCCCCCCCCCCCCCCCCCCGCTAGCCTCCCCTCACATTGAGGCCCCTGTACTTGGCTGCGTTGGGAGAGTGCCCAGCTGGCCCTGCCCTTGGCTCTCACAGACCCGAGTCAGCACAATGGCTGATGGTGACAGGGCAGAGGGGGAAGGGATGCTCAGCTGTACACTGCAGCCTAGTTGGGCTTACTGGGAATGTGCCTGCTTGTGGGGGGAATGTGGGTCCCTGGGTTGGGTGTGCAGGAGCCCACCCAGGACCCACATACCCCCCTGCGAGAGGGCGTAGCCCCAGGGAGCACGACCATGGTGCAGGGGACGGTGAGCATGGGTGACTCCACTGCCTGGCTGCGGGTGCTGTGCCTGTGGATGACTATGATTGAGGGATGGGGGGATGAAGGGGGGCATGCTTCTCCATGCCCAGCAGCCAATCATGGGTGGCCTGGCTGCTCGGCTGTCTCTGGCAGCCCAGGAAGCCTGAACCTACTGGCTTCGGCCAGTTCAGCCAGCCTGTGTGCCCACACACCTAAGGGTGAGCGTGTGTTCTGTTCATCCCCAAGTTAACCCATATATATTGCTTACAGAAACCTGCATAAATTTGATCAATTCTGCCTCAGGCTTTTTGAATGTCTGTACTTAGCCCAAAAGTAGTGTCTTGTTGATCTGAGGTGTTAAAGGCCATTCCTTTTCTTTTTGTTTTGTTCTGATTCCACTGCTACTGAGCTGATGAACTAATCCTCATTATAGTCTTATTCTCATGAGCCTCTGGATTGGTGTGCTGCTCTTTCCAGTGTGAGAGATCCCAAAACATCCTTTGGTGATTTGCATGCATCTGTTACCTTACAGAAAAGAAATCTAATATGGAGCTGTGTGTGTGTGCTTGGATGAGGGGAGGGAGCTATTCTTGCAGTTATGTGCTGCCTATTCTATAAATGTTCTAAATACTTTGAAAATTTGAAAAGAGTGATGGTACCTCATACAACGTAGAAACATGCATTTGAAGTAAAAGCCCAGCAATTCAAGTCTTCTGGTCTTATTCATAGCAGGTAAAAGGCTGCCTTGATGACACTTAGAGCAAATGAATTTCTCTCCTGCAGTCATGCACAGAATGAATTGCTTGATCTAGTTGGGTACAAAAGGGCAAGATCTATAAATAGTTAACTGAGCTTTCTTAAGGGCAGGTGATATATAGACAGAAACTCTCCCTTGGGGGCTTTTTTTAAAAGTAGGCACAAATATGAACAAAAGTAAGTTTGTAAAAAGAGGGCCTTTACTGAAATTGTAACCTTACTTATTTTGGTTTCCTTTTGAAAGTACATGGACAACCACATTAAAGGTGTATGAAGCTGACTTTAGATTCATTTGGAGGAAAAAGGAAAAAAAAAAGCCATTTTCTGAGACACCAATGTGAATATATTTTGTCAACAGTAAGCGGACATAATGCCCCTTAACACTGATGAGTTAATTTGTATGAAAGATGTTCTCATCTCACAAGCTTTTACTGCTTTTGCTTTTATTTGACAGTGATTAGTTACTGGCTTAAAGTAAGTTCTCCTCCTTTAGGCTAAGTACAGACAGTCAAAAAGCTGGAGGCTGAATCGATTCAGTCTTTGCAGGTTAGTCTAAGCTGCACAGAATAAATTGAAACAGAAGTGAACAGACATTTACCTTTGATTCAGGAAATACAGCCACATGCCTGCAGTGGTTCAGACCAGAAGTCAGGAAGTGCTAGAGTAGGCTGTGTGTTCATGTCTTCTTCCTGCTGCCCCTGAGGTTTCTGGGATTTGCAGTCCAGAAATGCAGCAGCAGGACACTGCAGGGTTGCTCATCACTTTCTCTTCCTGCTTCCAGGTGCCTCTGAGATTTGTAGACCACAGTTGCAGCCAGCAGTAAGCAAGGGAAGGAGTGTTTAACCCTCTTCCCTGGTCCCAGCCTCCAGCCCTGGTTTGCCTAGGTGGGCATTTCCCCCCCTTCCCCCTGTAGACTGCGCTGCATCCCCAGCCGGGCTTGCCACCCCCAACCCCCATCAGCCAGCCCTCACTGCTGCTGCTAGGGAGCAGAGGGGTGGGGTCAGCCCTGCTGTCTGGAGCAAACAGCCCAGTCCAGGGCTGGAAAGCATGCAGGGATGCTGAGGGACTGTGATTTAACTTGAACCAGGAAGGGTTCTGGGACAGACATTTCATAAACTGGTTTGACTCAAATCAGTTGAGTCTGATACTACATTCAGCCAGGTTTATCTTAAGCCATTTTCAGCCATCTTGAAACTGGTTTATGTGCACTGGATGTCTGTTCTGTTACAGGTCTAAACCAGTTTCTGATTACTTAAACTGGTTTATGTGTAACTTCTGTCCCTAGCCTTAGTGGCATTCTCAGTTTGTCCTTGCCCTGTTTATTCTTTGAGCTTCTAATAAGTTACATCTTTCTTGATTATTCATTTGGGCTGATTCTTTTAATTGCATGGTCAAAAAAATGGCAAAAGTACCCTCTTACAATGAAGTAAGGCCTGCCTTACTTTAAATCATCTGCCATGATAGACTGGAAGCCTTCAGGGTTTTACCCTTGCCTGAGGTGAGATGGACTCATCTGTTGTCAACAGGCATAACTGATGCCTTTTCTGTTGGATAGTCACATCATCTCTGATAAGTGAACAGTTTGCAGATCGTTCTCATTGGAACCTGCCTGTCAAGCAATGCATGGCTCAGACTTCACCTACGTAAGCTGTCAAAGCACATCACCTCAGACCCAAAGGAGACTGTTGTTTCCAAGGAATCTGTTGGTTTCTCCTAAGTGAGCGCCTCTCCAAACAGACATCACATTCTGGGCTGCAAAAAGAAAATAGACAAGAAAACCCACTGATATCATCAGTGACTACCTTGGTATCAGTAAGAAATAGAAGGGAATACCCCTTCAGATTCAGGATGGTAGTATTTGCCTCCACCATTCCTTCTCTGCAGGCCCAAGAATGGTTCCTGGTTCTTGATCTGTAGGTTGTGTGCTCACATATAGCTATCCACTCAGCCCATACGAAATGCCAGGGAATCACAGTGCAGTGAAATCATTACCAGTATAAGGTTACCAATCACCACTACTCTCTGTGACACTGATGAGAGTATTCAAAAAATGCTCCAGAGTGATAGCAGCATCCCTGAAGTGGTGTGCCATTTGAATCTGCTTGGTCACGACTGATGACAGCCACACAAACCCCACACACACACCCACACCTTCACAAATCCTGCTGCAAACCCCACCCCCTCCACCTGCCCACATACCCCCCACACAATCGCATCCTTTCACAATCCCACCCTCCACATCCTCCCACAAACCCCATACACCCATACCTTTGCACCTTCACAAATCCCCACACCTCTCTATACCCCTTCATAAATGCTCCACAAACCCCACACACATACCCACACCTCCCACCACCTTCACAAATACTTCCCTACACACATCTCCGGACCATACAAAGTACCTGCATATATTTTTAAAGAAGGTTCAAATAGTGTTATATTTGATTTAATTTGTAAAATAATAATAATAATAATAATTTTGCATAATTTTGATTTTTTTTTTTTTTTTTGGTGCATAACTCCCTGGGGTGTATCTTGCCTTTCAGGCTTCTAATCCTTTTTGTTACACTCTGCTGGACTCTTTCCAGTCCATCCACATCTATCTTGAAGTCTGAAACCGCAAACTGGACATAGTACTCCAGGTGAGGCCTCACCAGTGATGAATAGAGTGGAAAAATCATTTCCCTTGATTTGCAAGTGACACTCCTGTTAATATAACCAAGTATGCTGTTGGATTTTTTTACAAGAGATCACTGTTGGGTCATATTCATTTTATAATTCTCTGTCACCCCCAGGTCTTCTCTCCAGTACTGCAGCCTAGCCAATCATTTCCCAGTCTGTGTTTGTTTATGCAATTATTGAGTCCCAAGTGCAAGACTGCAGTTCTTTTGCTGAATTACATCTAACTGATTTTTGAACAATTTCTCCAGTTTATCCAGTTAATTTGGGATCCCAGCCTTGCATAGTGTCTGCAGCCCCACCCGACTTGATGTCATCCACTTATTTGCTAAACACGCACTTGATCCCATCATCCAAATAATTAATGCACTGGAACTCCTGAAACACATGGAGCCTCCTATTCTGCCCATCTCAAGCCTTCTCAATACAAGGCTGTTGCGTCTGGTGACAGAGCAGCCAGAACAGGGAAAACCCACATGACTTTCATTGGCTCTGCGCATCTCCCTAAGCCATAATCAGTATGCAGAGATCCCATCTAAAATTCATCCCCGAAGTGCTTTTAGAATTTCATCTGAACCATGCATCAGCCCACTCGCCTTCTTCCCAAGCTATCCTTGGTGGAAGAAGGAAACAAAATTGCATATACTAGATGTATCCAGGACTCTGTTTTAATCTCTTACAAGCACCAAGCCATTCAGACTGTTTCTTTCTGATTATAACATGGCATTCAAAATGTCAAGTTGTCTTCTCACCAAGAATCTCATAATGGATTAGCAGCCGAGTGGTGACCTCTGCTCCTGATTTGAAGCCTCACTCCACCACAGTTTAAGTGACTTATTCATCCTGTTGCAGACATATGCAGATATAAAAGTTCTGGAAAGCACTGACCTGGAGTACTCTGCTGACCTTTATCAAGAACTGTGCCTTGGACTTATTTGCTAGGTCAGGGATCAAGTTCAGGACAGCAACATAGTAATCACAGTTCAACTGCTGCAGGTGAAACTCCTCATCCCTGCTATCTGAATGGGATACTACTTAGCAGTCACTTACAGTATGATTCACCCTACTACTGTCTGCTCAAAGAAGAAAGAAAAGTTGTTTACTTTTAGGTAGCTGTGATTTGTAGTTGGTATGGATTACATGACTAGCTCTTCCTTCTTATATTCTGAGTCCTCTGCACCAAGGTCTTCAAATTCTGAGATGACTGGGGAGAGACCATAGTTAACCCATTCTTATGTCCTGCCTCAGTGGATGCTGCTAATCAGGCAATTTTATTCTTGCACACGTGACAAATGCACACCTTGTATGGGATCCAATATAGATTCAAAGAATTATAGAAAATTAGGGTTGGGAGGGACCTCAGGAGGTCATCTAGACCAACCCTCTGTTCAAACACGGACTGTTCCCAAGTACATCATTCGAGCCAAGGCTTTGTTCTAGCCTCGTTTTAAAAACCTCCAAGGATGGAGATTCTGCCATCTCACTGGGTAACCTGTTCCAGTGTTTTACTACCCTCCGGGTGAGAAAATTCTTCCTAATATCTAACCTAAACTTCCCTTGCTGCAACTTCACACCATCACTCCTTGTTCTGTCATTTGCCACCACTGAGAATACTCTAGCTCCATCCTTTTTTGAACCTCTCTTTAGGTAGTTGAAGGCTGCTATTAAATCCCCTGTCTCCTCTTCTCTAGACTAAATAAGCCCAGTTCCCTCAGCCTCTCCTCAGAAGTCATGCACCCAGTCCCCTAACCATTTCCACTGCACTCTGCTGAATTCTCTCCAATTTGTCCACATCTTTTCTATAGAGGGGTACCCAAAACTGAACACAGTACTCCAGATGTGGCCTCACCAGTGCTGAATAGAGGGGAATAATCACTTCCCTTAACCTGCTGGCAACACTCCTACTAGTGCAACCCAGTATACCGTTAGCCTTCTTGGCAACAAAGGTACTCTGCTGGCTCATTTTCAGCTTCTTGTCCACTGTAACCCTGAGGTCCTTTTCTGCAGAGCTGCTGCCCAGCCAGTCAGCCCCCAGCCTGTACTGGTGCATGGGCCTGTTCTGTCCCAAGTGCAGGACTTTGCACTTGTTCTTGTTGAACCTCATGAGATTCCTTTTGGCCCAATCCTCCAATCCTAGCCCCACCCTCCAGTATATCTACTCATCCTCCCTGCTTGGTGTCATTTGCAGATTTGTTGAGGGTTCACTCTGTGCCATCTTCCAGATCATTGATGAAGACACTGAACAAAACTAGCCCCAGAACTAGCCCCTGGGGCAATCCACTTGATACCAGCTGCCAACTAGACATCCAGCCATTGATTACTATCCTCTGAGCCTGAGGCCAGTTTTCTATCCATCTTATAGTTC